TATGATAATTGAAATAAAATAATACTCCATTTGCGATTTCATACAACATTTAGAAAATTAGTAGTGGTTTGTCGTTTTAAGACAATAATTCTTAGATGCAATCATTTACAATTATATTATTGTAATACTTATTATAATATTTATTTAAATATCATTCTAGTTCTTACATAATTATTCATCTTCGTATTGTTACACGATTGTTTTGTATTATAAATATATCAAGAAAAGAGGAGAAGATTGTACATTAAACATGATTATATGTAATAAGTTGTTACACTTTTGAGCGAAAACACACACACACACACACACACACACACACATACATATATAGAATTGTAATTCTAAATTTAATTCGCTAGGGCTACATGAGATCCGTCAAGTCCTTTAGTTACGTAGGTCGTGCGGAGGAGGAGGGACAGCGTGGATGTGCCGAGAGGGCACTTTGTGAGGCTAGTGCGGAATGTATCGCCGATACGCAAGGTCCATCGTCGATTTTCTGCCAACTTGGATCGTGAGTATCTGTTCTTGTGTTTAATTTTTTTTATATCTGTAATAAACTAAACACTTGGAACAATAGCGTAATTTTAAATTTATCATCTTCTTTCTTACCACAGCATTGGAATATAGCATATCGTCTTTTTTACGTTATGTTAAATTTATTGAAATTATAACAGTTTCGGTCTTTGGTAATGAATAATCAAAGATTAAATTAAACTTCCTCAGGTACGCAACGAGTTATTTCCTGCAGAGGCAAAGCGGCGTCGGCTTTGAGGCCTTATACGAGGCAGGACGACGTGGTCGCACAGGCGAGGATTGCAGAACTCTTTTTATGGATTGCAACGCTGTATAAGGCGAGTTTAATCCCCATAGCGTTCTGTCGAACGTAGCTTAGATTCCGCGGGATTCTCTTTGCCGATCAAAATTAATTTGAAGACTTCTCATACTACCCGTACATTCTGTGCTTTATCTTCTGATCGAGAACAATGTGAAACTACTCGAAGCTATTTGTATACATTACAAATAATTAAATAATATAATATGAAGGTTTTATAAATTATCGGAGAAACGTCTAAAAACGTCATGGTTGGGTCTTTTTATAGGATCTAATTTTCGAACACTCCGAATCTTTTTTTCGTCAAGCATTCGAATGACACGTATTTTCAACGGAGTTTCCGGCGTCCTATAACGTAAATCATGTTAAAACAAAAGTATATAGAGTTTTAATCATCATATTCATGGGTGTGCACCGAGCCGGGATTCGCATCGAATCTCGCTAGCTCCTCGAGCTCACGGTTGAACATTTCTTCAGACAGAGAATTCGTGTGTGTACACATGCTCAATAATGCAGATTTATTAAACATCAATCTGCGATTCCAATGCGAACAAACAAGGCACACTTGATGCTTTAATCCCGCCTGTCTCGAGACCAATTAGATTAAATTTTTTGATTGAACAAGTTTAAACAAGTTTGTTAATATCTTTATAAATTAGCTTCTAATAATACATTTTGGTCAAGTTTTATTTACTAAAGTTTCTCTTGTTTTTTTTTTCCTATTTGTCACATTAAGAATTGTACGTATATTTTTTCGTATCGCCGAGTTTCGCCACATCGATTATACAACTATATGACTATATTTATTTCTATTTATTGTGCGTGTTAAACGTAGATGTAGTATTTGTGGTTGGGACTCGGTGCGAGTTCTGGTCGTTCCAGTATTTTGACGACGATGACTATTATGTGCAGCAGGAATTTTATATATGAGTATATATAAAATTGTTGATATATTTTAAGTTTGCGATCAATAAAATTGTTTTAACATCTGAAATGTAATATATATTTTCAAAATATAAAACTGTGAATAATGAAAGCACTATAATTCATATTAATTTAAGCGTCATTAATGGATTCGTTTTTCCCATTATCAATGATTTCCAACCTGTTTGTAAACTTTTTGCGGCCATCAGATCAATACTAAAAATATACAATCATATTTTCTGTTTTATATAAATCAGTTAAAATACTTTATATAACTAATAAAAATTGGCCACCTCGCATGATTGAAATTGAAAAAGTAGTAGTTGTCCGTCAAACTTTAAATCAAAATAAAAATTGTAAAATAATTTTATTATCATATTTTATTATCATACGTCGTTGTATTCGTTAGAATGGACACTACAATTTTTATTACATCAAAACATTTATTTTACAGAAAAAAATTATGTTTACCTCTCCGTTTTCTAACATAAATATTTTTTCTCAATGAAACTGTGCTTACAATCAAGTTTAATTGCAGCCATTTAATTTCAGATTATTATATATTTATTAAATCTATTTCTGTTAATTTACGAAATAAAAATGGATGACTACTTTTACAATACACCGTGTGTATGTGTGTGCGTGTGTGTGCGCGCGCGCGCGTGTGTATGTGTGCGCGCACGCGCGCGCGTACATGCATGCGTATGTATGTAAGCAGGGAATCCGATAAGTTTTAACAAAGTGTGTAGAGAAAATGGACTAAACTGAGTCGAAAAGTCCTATATCATTTTATAATTTTCGCAATAGTTAACAAGATATTAATTACTAAAAATATTGATTTTCAATAATTATTTATTCAAATATTATCATTTTAGAATGTTTCATACAAAAGTTGTTTAAATTCGAGGGATGCATAAAATGATATCATTAGTTTGACCTTAGATGACTGGCGTTGTTAAGGTCGGATAAAAGTCACTTTAAATTTTTCAAATGGAATCCCTCCATTTTTCATTGCATATTCTTGTAGAACTTATCTTGAGAGCTTTCCAAAACTATAAAATATTTTTCCATTAAGCACTTTTTGTGTTATAATCCAAACAACACGAAGATTAAAAGTCGGCTATAAGACCGAATGTCGACTAATAGTCGACTAATGCTCATTTCCACCAATGTAGATTAATTTTAATCTCGGTTCAACTTACTTTTCGTCTTTTTCTAATTTTTAGAATTAGAAAAAGACAAAGAGTAAGTTGAATCGAGATTAATCTGCATTGGTGGAAATAAACCTAATAAACTGAATGAACTCAAAAAAAGTCGATTCGACATTTTAAATTGACTTACGACTTAAAATATCAACTTACACATATGTTCAATTTCTTCACGTCTAAATAACTTTATCCAAAAGATATCTTCCAGATAGTGGAGATATCTCCTAGATAAAGTTATCTGCAACTTATCTGTAAATGAAGAAATTGAGCATTATTCTATGTCAACTGGGAATAGTCGACTTTAAATTGACTTTTAACAGTCAACTATATGCCGACTGAAAAAAAGTCGACTAAATTGACGAACAGTCACTCGTGTTGTTTGAGAAGGCTTGAAGTTACACTACCGCCGTCATTAGAGCATTATCCAAGGTGTACTGCGTGAAGGTTGCTCGGCCAAAAATATGTTCCAGACTAATGTAATGGGGTTTAAAAAGATCTATTTATTGATCATATCAGTTTAATCTTGGGTGACTTTGCCAAAGTCAGATCAAAGTCACATCGACACATTTTTTTAAATGAAACATACCTACTTTTTATTCTAGAATCTAATAGCCGATGTCAAGAGCTTTTCAAAATCCTATAATAAAGTATCGTTTAATTAAGTAAATCTCGAGTATGAAGATTAAAAGTTACAGTACCGCTGGCACTAGCATTATCCAATGTGTGCTAGCATTACCGCGTGGAGGTTGCCCGGTCGAATTTATATCTTGTGTGTGTGTGTGTGTGTGTGTGTGTGTGTGTGTGCGCGCGCGCGCGCGCGCGCTTCTACATGCGTACGTGTACTTGCATATATTTATGTTTCTGAATAAATAAATGTTTACTTGTTTATAAGAAATGCTCAAAATGACCATCGTTTTCTTACTGACCGCGCGACAGGTTTGTTGCTGTTTCTTTGTTGCTGTTTCACTTTAATAAGCACTCGATTTATTCGTACGCAACGGCTCTTCGCACGTATTCCGTTGGGACTGAGTATAATGAGCCCTGGTAATAAATATTCAACCTTAGTAGAGACTTTCCTATGTTGCTATAAAAGTGAATCAGAAATAAATAAATATTCTATTTCGTTTTATTTCTCAAAGTTTTTATAGATTTCGTTTTATTTCTCAAAGTTTTTATAGATTATCTAGCCATGTATTATTGCTTATTCAAATGAAGAAGCATACGATATGTTGCTAATTTTGAGTGAGTATTGAGTATTCATTTGCTGATGCTGAAAGATTGTGGCGATGTTTTTCTAATCGAACTCCTCACTCGCGGAGTCTTTTCACACACATACACATATGTACACAGCAGAGAGAGTTTGAGATCAAAAAATACTACGGGCGTGACGAATCATGTCCTTATCTCTGCTGCGACAAACACACCCACACACATACACACCCACACACACACACACGCGCGCGCGCGCACGCACGCACGCAAAAGATGTAAATCTATACCTCTACGCGGTACACTTAATGCTAATGCCGGACTGTAATTTTTAATCTTCATAACTGAGATTTGCTTAATCAAAAGATACTTTATTATAGGATTTTAGAAAGCTCTTGACATCGGCTAAAAAAAAACGGAATTCGATCCTGCAACTACAATATATAATTTAATAGGGTTGACATTTTTTTAATTTTGGCAAACTCAATTTTCAATGCTATAAGCATACAAAAAGTAATTTTACGCCAATTTTCACGTATTTATATGGAGGATTAAATTAATTTTGAAAGTGTGCCGGTTAGGCGTTAAATACTGCCGTATTTAACGCCTAACAATATAAATTAATTACATATACGCATCACGCATTTAGCATTAAATGTACATACATACAATACTCATAAGGAATATTAGCGTGATAATGCTCGTAGGGAGGAAGATGCGCTTAGAACTGTTCGAGAAAGGGAATCAGCAAATTTTAACGTGTTTAATGAACTCTGTGTCCAACATTACTATTGTTTTTTTAAAAAATATATGAAAGTATAAGAAAAATAATTGTGATTAAGTTCACTTTCTCTATAATATAGCATATTTTATTAATATTTTATTTTTTCAATTAATATTCCGATATTGACAAAAAATATATATACATATATATTTTGATTTTTACATATTATGATATATATATTGGGTTGTCCGGAAAATTCGTGCCGATGTTGAAGGAAAATTTAAATTTTAGTATACATTTATTAAATTATATAGGTTGATCGGCACGAACTTTCCGGACAACCCAATATATAAGAAAGAATTAAAATTTCTAAATTTATCTCAAGTTAAAATTAAGGATTTGAAAAACACATAAATTATGTTAGCAATATTAAAATTGTTTAAATAAACATGTACTATATGTAATTTTAAAATCATATATGCATCTTTTAATAATTTAAATTCGATATTTCACAATGATAGCAATTTAATGATTTTCAGTTTCATTATTGAATGACCTTCTCTATATTTAACATTAACTCGTGTTAATATCTTAATTAGGATAATTTTCCTTCCTTTTAACATGTTCATTTAACCTATTAATTGCTGTATATAATAAGAATATTACAGATTTATGTCTATTAACATAGATATATATTTATGCAT